CCGAACTGAGAAAAAGATGATGTGGAAGAAACTGTTAAGAATAAAGAAGACCGAGATTCAAGAAGCTACATTAAGCGGGAAGTTAACCATCCATTCTAATAGCTTGCACAAGCAGCTAGTTAGAACAATGGGGCAGTAATCTTAAGGAAGGGTACCAGATTTATTGAGTTTCAAGAAAGGAAGAATAAGGCCTTCACGCCAATGAGCAAAATTTCCTGCCGTCCGAATGTGGTTGAAGATAGTCAACGGGAAGGACAGAGGAAGATGGGACGCCTCTTACTTTGATATTTGCGAAGTTCTAGCTTATCCTGGACCTTCCATATATGGCCTGGCCTGTGTCAGCTTTTTATGGCTGTCTCATTTTGTTACCGTGAAGGCGGGATTGCCAGCAGGCGCTCCTGCCTCCATGATGTAAGCAAACCACATAATCTCTTTACCAGCACGGCGGCTGTTGTCAGCGGTCCCTGTCTCAGGAATTGTGTGTGCTCACAATTCTATAAGTAACGTACCAGGGTGGCGTCGACTCGCCACAATGAATGTAACACCTCTCTTCACAGTCTATTGTCTCTATAATCTGCCATGCACAGTAGTAACCTAGTCTGATTATGTGAAGAATGATTTCGGTACCTCTGTTGATTACTGCAGAGAGTGTCAGTGGTTCATAGCCTGTAGCTTCTGAGTACCAACTGGTCGAGGGGGAGGATCTCGTTTCTTCTCTGTGATGCTGCAGGAAGAAGGTACAAGCGGCCGCAATACACTTCCCCTTTAGGATTTTTCGGTTTGGTTGTATGATCATGGGATTTGGGGGCATACCCTGTCAATGTCGGCTAGTCTGTCAGCAAACTCATTCCCTCTGATGCCAATGTGGCTGGGGACCCAGTTAATGATTCTTCTTCTACCCTGAGTAAGAATTCTCTGCGCTATGGTAAGCATAGTGGTCAGGAGGTAGACGTTGTCTTTGGGTGAGCTCTGCTGAAGACAGTCAATGGATGCCCTGGAGTCTGTATGTATGACCACGTGTCCTTCCTTCAGGAATAGGAGTCGTCGGAGCACATAGTAATAAACACCATCAGGTCCTTCGTGGGTGTTGCAGCACAACTGTAAGGCAGAATAAAATTCAGAGGAAGAAATAGGAGCGTTATAGGAGATGGGAGTGTTATCGCTGGAGGCCTTAATGGAAGACAAGTGGAAAGACGGTAAAAGGTCAGGAAGTTTGGGGAATGGCTATAAATACACCACTTTCGGTGAAAACAGATGGTGGAGGAAAAGGAATAGTAGAGAGCGAGGAAGAAGTATGCCAGCCAGCTCTATCAAAGTACCAGCGTGGAAGATTGGGAAGCGGGACATGGTTAATGGTAAAACAAACAAATATGCTAGACATTAAAGGCCATTTAAAACTGTGGTAAAGTATTATGGTGAAAAGGGTAAAATGAGTTAACGACTGGGATAAAATATATCAGATATCAAAGATTGTACAGCTCTATAGTATAGTATGCTAGTAAAAAGGGTGAAAGGGACAGCGAATGGAATAAGACGGGGATTCTTTATTTATTTATTGAAAATTTTCTGCCGCGTCATCATCTAAAGTCATTAGCGACGTATACAAAATGTGGTCATAAGGTGGGGCTTGGGAGCAAAGCCTCTACGCAAAGTTCTTTGGTTCAGTGAGGCTATGTTCGTGGATTTCCAGAATGGTCAATGGTTCACAGTATTTTAGTAAAGTACTGTGGCGAAAAGGGTAAATATGGTTTAACGATTAGGATAAGTGGAGAGAAGGGGATGAAATAGACAAGGAAAAGGAAACGGGAGAAGAACAGACCCTGTAAAATTAGTTGAAGTGAGGGCTGAAGTCCAAGACAGGTAATCCCTACATTGGGCCTCATTCTCCGCCTCCTAAGCCCCCCACGGCAACAACGAGCAAGGGATTGGGGGCGAGGCGGGGAATAATAAAAGGGGAAAGGGTTTAGGGCGCACGACGATTCGATAAAATGGAGAGTATCTGTGTCAGATGAAGGAAGATGAACACTGTGGGAGAACTGCAAAAGAACCACTATGTAAATCAGCGGAGGATTCGGAGGACACTGTTGCGACGTAAGGGAGTCACATGAGCATCCATGTGGGTGCGGTAAGGATAATGGGAAAAGAGGGCATGGTGCACATGGAGAAGTGAAGATGGGCAGCACCGTTTGGCAGTGTGGCCGAAACGCCAACATTTCTGACACTGACGAGGAATTTTTACCTTTTATTTATTTAAATTCTCTGCCGCGTCAACATCTAAGGTAATTAGCGGCGTTTTCAAAATATAGCGATAGCGTGGGGCTTGGGGGCAAACCCACCAGGTGTTATAGGAGATCAAAGGCCATAGAGCGCAACGGAAAAGTATAGTGACGAAAAGAGTTAGGAATATGTTAATGATTACAGTAGAGTTACAGGTTGAACAGTACTAAAAGCTGGTATGGTAGTGAAAAGGGTGGAGAGGGGGAGCTGATGAGGTATAGTATAAAGTAAGGTTGTTAAATGGGGAAGGAGTTAAAGGAGTAAGAAGCATTATGATAAAGTATTACGGCGAAAATGGCAAAAACAAAAGCAAGGGAATGAAGAAAAGGAAAAGGAAAGAATACAAGACCATGTAAAATATGTTGAGGCGAGGGCTGAGGACCAAGGTAGGAGTGACCCCCTTACATTGGGCCTCAGTCCCCGTCTCCTAAGCCCCGAGCAAGGAACTGGGGATCATTGACGGGGAAGTGGTCGATGTGGTCGGACAAGGATGGACACTCCACCAATATAAACTTCATGGGGAAGACCATGTCCACGGAAGATTACCTTGGCAATATTGGTGTAGGACTTACACTGGCCTCTGTGAGGAATAGTACTGTACTGTACTATCACTGCACCATACTCAAGATAGGCAGGCAAACTGATAGCATTTAGTCTGATTACTACTTCTTGTAGACAATACATTCAGTCGGGTAGACAAACAGTTCCAGTATAAGTATTAAGGGTAGGAATAGGTTTGTCAGTGAGGCCAGTCAGTGTAGATATTTACTTACTGATTTTAACCTGCCGCGTCAACATCCATAGTCATTAGAGGCGTATTTACATTATAGTGATATGTCTGGGGCTTGGGGGGCGAAGTCCCCCAGAAAGGAAGTTCTTTGGTTTAATAATGCCATGTTTGTGTATTTCCAGAACGGTTAATGGTCAAAACACAAATGTGCCCGACATCAAAGGTCATACATCATTATTAAAAAGCATCGTGGCGAAAAGGGGTAAAAACGAGTTAAAAACCATGCAAAATTAGGCGAGATGGGGGCTGTGGACCAAGGTAGGAGTGATCCCTACATTGGGTCTCAGTCCCCGACTTCTACACACACACACACACACACCCACGACGACGACGAGCGAAGGATTAGGGTAAGGTTTTGTAAGACTATGGGTCTGTAGGGGAAATCAAAGAATCGATCCCAAATGGCCGGGGCAAAAAGAATACTCAGTTTGCAGAGCTGAAGGCCGAAAGCGGGAGGAAGAGGGGGGTTCGGAGTGAGAAGGACAAGGATGAATAGTAGTAATTAAGCAGGAGAGTGCGAATGACTCGGAATGGATAGTGACGGCAGCAGATATCGATGAGGGGGTAGGAGTGTCGGTGGTCGGAGCCGTTGTCAAAAAGGAGCAAGGGGTCAGGAAACCACAGAGAAGTCAAATTTAGATAGGTTAGTTGAAGGGGCAAGCCTTGATGCCCCTAATAAGGGTACAGAATCTTCATTGTTGGTCACGAGGAGCCTGGGATATGCGGTAAAGAAACGATCTACCCCTTATGATCCCCGTAAGGAATAAAGGGTACGCTAGTAAATAGGGGCATACCGTGCCCATGGCCCCTGGAGGCCTTTCAGCACGGCTCTCATACCTTGGTAAGTGGACAGAAGGTATTAGAGAAGGAAAAGGGGAGAAAATTCTTATTTATTGAAAATTTTCTGTCGCATCAACACCTAAGATCAGCAGCGTATTCAAAATACAGCGATAGAGTGGGGCTTAGAGCGAAGCCTCCTAGTTTAGTATCGTGATAAAGTATTGTGGTAAAAAGGATACATAATAGTTAACGATTAACGTCAGTGGACAGAAAGGGGTGAAGAGAAGGATAAGGAAATGAGAAGACCATGCAAAATTTGTTAAGGCGAGGGCTGAGGCAACGAGCAAGGAACCGAGGGTGGGATATAAATGAAAAGAGTGAGAGTATAGGAATGGGAACGTAAGATGATATAGTGGGGGTGGGGAGGATGTAGAAGTATCTTGGTAGGAAGGGGGAAGGTTTGGGCGAACGCGAGAGAAAATGGGGAGTAAAAACGTCTTAGGAGGAAGGGAGGTCGAAGGGCGAAATTGAATTAGGGAGTATGGAGTAAGAATCTTGTCAGCATGCTTCCTCACTCAATGGGAGCCACAATGGGCGCACAGGAATGATTTTGCAGGGCATCTAAGTGTGGAAGGAGTTTGTCAAGACCCATACATTTCTAGCATAGATGGGGGACAGGAAGTTGATATGGTCGGACAGGTTAGGGGTGCGCCAATTTAAATTGTTATTGGGGAGGTCAATGTTTGCGAAAATTAATTTGGCAACATTGAGGAGGGATTTGCTGCAACACCCAGGGGAATGGTGTCACATTGTGCTGCTGCTGCATTAGTCAACAAGAAGGCGAGCCAAATCGTTTCCACAGTATGACCAATCTTGTCTGGTCTAATATAACTTTAGGTTTCAAAACAATGGTACTATTGCACTTTTCTGGTCAATAGAATCCTATTTATCATTTCAGTATCCAAATTAATTAACCAGTATGATCTTTGTCTCTACAAGATTTTGTTTTCTCTTATACCAAAGGCAGTATCATCTTTCCAATAATAATGATATAGAACACTACTGAATACGCAAATAAATACATTTCCCAGATTTAAATGAAACCGAGTAAACCCAGAAATACCAAGAGTCCAATAACTAAGGAAACACAAACTGAAGGTAAATTTTATTTACTCATTAGGATATAACATTTGTGTAGGTTTAGAATTATTTGAAGATCTTGCCCTGGTTAAATTTGCGGCCCTTGTTGTCCTCCCCAATCCACTTGAAGTACTGGTCGACTAGCTTCTTGGTCTCCTCCGATGCAGGGTCGAGCTTCTTCCAGTCGTAGGACTCGTAGTCGACGGTCCAGTCATCGCAGAGCTGAAAGTAGGAAGCAAATATGAGGTCTGTCTCCACACTTTTTGCCAAGAGGGTGGATTCTAACCACTAGTTTTTCCTGAACACAATCAATTTGCATATCCTAATTCATTGAAATGAAGTAAATACTTACAGGGAAGGCCAATTCCTGTCCCCTCCAGACCCAAATGCCGGAAATATTGTTGGCCTTATCTTCACCAAACACGCACATGGAGGCAAAGGCATTTTTGCGGAGCTTATCCACACGCTGGAACATTCCTGGGGAGGGAGAGATGAATGAAGCAACTGGTATTGCAAGAGTAGATGAAACTATTTACACAAAGTACAAATTTGATCTTAAAAAACAAAAACAAAAAAAAAAAAAAAAAAAAAAACAAAAAAAAAAAAAAAAAAAAAAAAAAAAAAAAAAAAAAAAACAAAAAAAAAAAAAAACAAAAAAAAAAAAAAAAAAAAACAAAAAAAAAAAAAAAACAAAAAAAAAAAAAAAAACAAAAAAAAAAACAAACAAAAAAAAAAAAAAAAAACAAAAAAAAAAAAAAACAAAAAAAAAAAAAAACAAAAAAAAAAAAAAAAACAAAAAAAAAAAAAAACAAAAAAAAAAAAAAACAAAAAAAAAAAAAAAAAAAAAAAAAACAAAAAAAAAAAAAAAACAGAAAAAAAAAAAAACTTTAAAAATGCAGGAGGGAGAAAATGAGGAAAATAATTCTAACGTATACTACCAATTATAATGAATTCAAATTTGATTTACCAGCAATGATTTAATTGCCTGTACCTATGAGTTGAGCAGTTATTTGTACTAGACACCATTTCCAAAAACAATATAAATCACTACTTAGTTTATGTAATCAAGGGGAAGATCATACTTTCATGGACATACCATTCAAATACAAAACATGGCCTACGTAGTTATAATGAAAAGGAAATTCTTACAAATGAATAAGCAGAAAAATATACATCTCTGTAGTGTGCCACTGCTTCAATGACTTTTCTCAAATGGTAATCACCACAAATTTAAATATACCCAACTAATCATCACATGAAGACGGGGCTGGGATAAAATTATCAAAAACATTTTCTACATTTAAATTTAATAATGTACAAAAGACAATTGGCTCTACTTACTTGTATTCACAGTACCAGATGGAATAATGATCTTTGTCAAACTTTTCCCAGAAGTAAGGCACAGACTTATCTTCATCGTTGTTTGAATAGAACCTCTTGAAGTCATCCAAGTTGAAGTTTCTGAAATTTAACAAATGGGCAATGAGTGGAAAAAATATCAAGAAACAAATGCCACAAGTAAAAGTAAATACTCACTAGTTTCAATAAAGTTGGTTTGTCTGAATATGTCAGAATATATAAACCAGTTCATTTATATGTAATACACACCAGCAAAACAGACACCTTGCAGTCAAGTCCAGTGCATTTACATGTTTACTATCAAAATGGTCGGATGTCCCAATATTACTCAGATTTGTAAACCCTTCCCAGAAAACGAAACTAACAGGAATTCTTTCAGATTTACATAATAATCCAATTGATCTGAAAACTTACTCTATAATCATAAAAAGGCAAAGAAATATTAACCAAAAGAACATCAAATCTACATAAACCAGGGTAGTTAAAAGAAACTACTACCTGTACAAATGCATATATTTGTACAAATCTCAAATCCTACAGTGGTGAAGTAATTATGTACAAAACTAAAGACTATTTCACTTTTAAACAAGAGCAGTATAAAAAACAAGAGTGCAAATACAGAAAATCAATTACAGTTCAAACTGAAGTGCTAAATGGAGCAATTAGCTAAAAGGTTGCAACATACTGCCCTGATGCTAACCTTTAAACTTGGATATTCATCCAACATTTAAAAAGTGCACAATTGCTCCACTTGCATAATGCAGAACTTAAGAATAACTTGCATCCTCCACTACCAAGAAAATACAAGGTTTAAAGCTCAAAATTATGTATATATGATAGGAACATGTTAGATTTCTGTACATGGCCTGTGTACGTGTGAGGGAAGATAAATGTAAAAATGAAAATACACCATTTTCATGCAACCGATTCTTTCACTAAGACCCCACACCTGCATGAGCACCTTCTGCATACACTATTGAAAAATATTCACAGATACTATTAATAGTACTTGCACGCAGTCTGGCTTGAGGTTGGTCTGGTCCCTTTGGCTCAGTGAATACTTCAGTTAAGAACTCTCTTCCTCCTCTCAAATAAAAGGACTTTAGAAGCTCAAAATCAACACCTGCTTTACCTAGTTTGTCTGCTATATTCTCAGATATGTAGTTTGAGCCAATCAGAGGTTTTAGGCTTTTGGATTTCAATTTTGCTTCTCTACTGTACTCCATCTTCTCCTTTAAAGACTCGTAAGTAAAAGAGAAAGTCTTCAAAGTACCAGCTGGTAAATTTAAGATATTTACAACTCTCTGAAGTGATTTTACATCCTGAAGTGCATCGTGTGCACTGTAGGTTTCATGAAGCACAGCACGAACAATAGTTTCCTGTTTGTGGTTCGTCAGATTGGGGAGAACATGTCTGAAGAGAGGCAAGGTGTCCAGAAATCCAGTGACAACCTCATGCAAGGCAGGTTCAACACCATGCTTTTCCATTGAATTAATCAACCTCTTAGAATCAAAATTGTAACAATTATGTGCTACCAATACTAATGGAGCAAAAGGCTTTAACCAATTCACAAAATGCTGGAATGCATCTTTTGCCCCAACACTTTCTATTTTCTTTCCTTTCAAATGCAATACACCATCTTTTAAAGTTAAACCAGTTACTTCAGCAGCCTGTTGCATTATCGGTTTACTTGGCAAAACATACTGATTAAAGGTTTGATCCCCGACTGCAGCAGAAAGCTGTACAATATCACAATCTAAATCTAAACCAGTTGTCTCTATATCAAAGAAAACCATATTAGGAAGATCTTCCATGTGCTTGAGGAACACCTCGTTTATCAAAGGAAGCACTGAAGTAGTATCAGAAATCCCACTTCCACTCTCGCTGGGTGGTCCATCCCCTTGCTGGGCACAACTCCCAAGCAACCTAAAATCAAATGGATTTTCTACAAAACTGCCCTCCAAGCCACTTCTCCTATTTACACAATACTATTGTTCCAACTAGTAGAGCAGAACACCTTATAGATTTCAAGTATGCATTGTCAAAATACAAGCAAGACTAAACCCTACCACGATGTGCCATATGCAGCTTGTAAAATAATTCTTTTGCTATTTCAGAGTCTATCATTCAAGTAGTGGTGGCCCCACACAAGCACAGATTCCGAACACCAACTCACCCTGCAGGAAGGGCATCCAGGGGATCCTTGGGCTTGGGGGCAGGGGCAGGGGCAGCTGCAGGAGGGGAGGACTCCTTTTCCTTCTTCTCCTTGGGTTGTTCCTTCTTTGCCTCCTTCTTAGACTCCTTCTACAAAGATGTGCACATTTGGAATAGCTTGGTCTAGGAATTGTGCTTCATGCTTTCAGCTAAATTGTTATAAAGTACTAGCATTTAAGAATTTTTTTTTATTTGAAAATGTCTCTTCAAACTGGTTCTCCCAACTCAATAACTGAGCAGTGATACAGATGAGAATTTCTTTCCCCTCTGTTTGACCCCTCATGTTCTATTGAAACAATTGGGAACACTATCAGAGGGTAGAACATCTTACCCCAATGCAAGCCTTTGCAGCTCTCGAAGGCTAATAATTAGCAAGTTAATTTTTTTCACAATCCTTGAAAAAGTTTGTATTCTGTTGAAAATATTTCTTAGCCTATATACCCTTGACTACAAATAACTGCAGAAAAGAATTTACCTTCTTGTCACCTCCACCTTGCTTCAATTTGCTCTGGACTTCAGCAAACTTCTTGTTATCAAACTGTGCCATCTTCTCGCAAAGCTTGAATTCACCAATAACCGATTTTACCTGAGGCTGGTTAACCATGGTAGTGAACCAACGGTTGGCATTCTGATAAGGCTTGCGGAAGGAGGGTTCCAGCACATACTGTAAAAGGCGATGTATTTTAGCATGCGTTTTAATACAATCAACATGGAAAAATTTATTTCTTATATCAACTGGATATTGTATCTTCAACTGGTTATTCACAGCACCCAAGCAGTAGGTGGGGAATCGTAGGAGAAGAATTACTTTGCCCTTTGTTTGACCCCTCATGATACATTGAAACAATCAGGAACACTTACAAAGGGATAGTTTAATTTTCCTTTCACTTTTAAGTTCATCAAAAATATTAATTGCTAAAACTAATTTTCAATAGAAACCATTTAAATTCTTCCACACATATATACTTGTCACTCGTTATTTACTTACCTGGTAGAGATGGAGAAGGGTGCAACATACAGTGATGTCAGCCAGGGAGATGCGTTCTCCCACCAGGTAGGTACGGGACAGAAGGTGGGAGTTAAGAGCAGCAAGAGCTTTCTTAATGTCTTCCTTAGCACGCTCAGTGTTACCCTTGTTGAACTGCATAATACCGAGGCATGGGAATACCCAGGTGCATGAGGCTGGCAGGATTTCATTATCTGCAAAGTAAAAAAAAAATTGTACACTAGTAATTTAAACCCATTTCTGACATTGTAGGGGGATGAAACTGGAGTTTAACATTATCCACATTTTGAAAATGCACTATATCACTTGAACACTTACCAGCAAAGTTCATCCAGGAGACCACCTGAGCCTGGTCCATGGGAGACTTTCCACGGAGCTGCTCATTGGCCACTGCCCAAGCAATGGCATTGCTCTCAAAAATGCACTTGCCATCAGTAGACTCAAAGGCTGGAACCTGCCAAGTTAAAGGAATTGTTCCAAATTAAGTCATGTTCATTGCAACTTCATACACTACCAATCTAAACCTACAGGATGTATGACCAATATTCTATGCAGTAGTAGTCTCTAGTACACTGCTACCCATAACTCATTACTGCAAATGCAATGCTGGAACATTTTTCAACAAGTCCTTTCTCATCAAAAGTAAATGAGCAGCCTTACCTTGCCAAGAGGGAACTTCTTCAGGAAGGCATCAGACTTGTTGGTTTCCCCAAAGACAAAGCTGCTGTCTACGGTTACTTTGGCACCGCTGTACTGAGCAGCGATCAGGGCCTTGAAGGCCCTGAAGTTCTCAGGGTAAGTGTACAGCGTCTGAAAGGGAGCAAAACATTAATTGCCAATCAGTCAACTTAAACAGAAGTAATAATTTAAATATACCTTCCTTTTCATACTTCTACACTGTCGTATTAGAAATTATGCAACATTTCCACAGGATTTCACTGGAGGGGGGGGGGGGGGGTTCCAACGAGAGAGAAGAGGCTTTAAAGGGCTAAAGCAAGAAACTTGGGGAAAAGAAAACAAAAGAGTACCTTTCTATTACAAGACAACAAAGTACTTTCATGTTTCAACACCTAAAATACAACTAATCTGTATGACCAAGTGTTCACTGCATACTGAACCATGACATATGCCAAATCTCTCTCTACCGGCTTGGAATTCTAATCCTCCTCTCAATCCAACATTTGTCCTTTGTTCCATTTTCAATTTGTTCAATGGTATTACTCCTATAATATACCCTCGCCATATCACCAAAGTTCAAATTTCCCTAAATCAATTCCATGAATCAATGCCCCCCACTGCCCAAGTACAAACTCTATTTACTGCATGTGAAACTAAAAATTGCTAGCAATTTACGTGAGAAATGAACTAATAAATATAGCAGTTCTTGTAACCTAATAAACGCCAAGATTTAGTTTCCAAAAAATGTGCAAGGATTTTCATGTACTAAATTTCAAAATAGGGTTGCCGCAAATATCTAGTTGTAGGTTGGCTTAACCCAGTCACCATGGATTTATGTAATGGCCTCTGTAGTTTGTGAATTTTGTTACATACCAATGGCTCCACATGTGCTCAGTCAGCTAGGAGGCTATAAATAGGCTTTAGTGACCGGTCCTGATTTCCCCTCTTTGAAATTAAGGGAAAGTTTCTCTAATACTATCAATACTATTTATTTGTTATTAAAACATTGGTAACATTAAAGAATGAAATAATGCAAGGCACTTTGCGGCCCACACACATCTGTATGGGCCACATCTATAGGGCTGTTATTACATCATGCGTGACAGTAAAGAAAAAAATACAAATGGCTTCAAAATTGCCTTGAACTTTATGGTAAATGTAACTGAAGATGACAGTATTCGTGATGTCAATTCATATTTGCGTTTTCTCTAACAGCTCTTCCTTGTGTAATAGAGGGCATGGGTAGGGTAATTTTTTTTGGGATGTAGCCAGAAAGGATCAAATTTCCAGTTTTGTAGTTAGTTAATGTTTAAAGAATCAATTTTATTCTGAAACTTATTTTTATCAAGACTTCTGAAAATGTGAACGTTTACCCAACCTGGATATAAAAATTTCCTTTTCTGTCTAAGTTCTGGAATTATATAAGCTTTGTTTTTCATTTCACTATTGAGGATATCAAGTTTTGAATGTCCCACAAATTAGAATATATATTTATGACTATAGAGACTTTGTTTCTGCTAAAATGTAAAAGTTGACATCTCAACTCCATGTTTTCCACAGAGATGATGTAACCACACCCCACAGTGTGGGGTGTGGTCATTTCCTAAATTACAAACCAATGTGACCACATATCACCTTACAGTTCTATTATCCATTGCTAATTAACTTTATAGCAATTGACTCCTTATGGCTTGTTAACTTCTAATCAATTCATCCACCAGGCTATCCCCTAAGACTACTAGTAAATAGTTCTGTCCAATTGTTTGGTTATTCCAAACCCAAAAAGGGAGTGGAGTCGTATTTCAATTGGTTTGATTTTTCCTTTGTTTGACGCCATAGTGCTACAAAGCAGTATGAGAACACTTCAAAGGAGTAACTGAATTGGTTAACTACTGGATAATAGAATATTGCAGACTATATATATATATGTGACAGGGATTAAGTGCAAATTTTTGCATATTGAGATATACACATTCATATTCCTGACTCTTCCAGCTCCATTTTGATACCAAAATCATTTCGCTGTGGATTCAGCCATATTACCTCGATTTTACCAACTTAATCACTAAACTCTTAGTCATTTTTCATCAAAGCCAACATTTATATTGCCGATTAATGCAGTAAATATCACTTTCTTGGCCTGAAATCACTGAAAATATACAACACATTCTTTATCAACATGGGCACGACCAGGGATTTCCCTTCCAGACCTAAAATTCACCATGCTGGTAGCATGTGAAATTGGTCAAAAATACTGAACTTCCACGGTGTTAGGTAAGGTTGGATGTTGCGTTAGTTCGCCCGTTTGTACAAGGAACAATGCCTAGAATCGTTGAAAGCAGTGGATTTCGTGCAGAAAAATATCAAAATTGTTTCGAAAGTAACCCATCTTCCCTTTTCTTTTACGTATAGCACCCTTGGGAAGCACTTGCACACACACTGCCTTAGAAGAACTTTGTCTTGGTTTGTATTGTTCTATCATTTCATGTAGGTTTTATTACCCAACTCTGCCACTACCTTATACTACATATTGACCGTTTGTTTATATGTTTTTTTTTTTTTTTTTTTTTTTTTTTTTTTTTTTTTTAACAGAGAGAGAGAGAGAGAGAGAGAGAGAGAGAGAGAGAGAGAGAGAGAGAGAATCTCAAAACCAGGGTATCATGCAAATCCAAAAATCCATACCTATCCTTTTGTGCCTTCCATTTATTCCCTGGAAGAGGGGGACTCCTCCTGTACCCCTTTTATTAGCACTTGCAAACTTACAAAACTGGCAACATTAACCCCTCAATGACAGTATCAGAAATATGTTACTGACTTGCGACTTCTGGCAACCCTCCTGCTGTTTGGCCCGGGAGATACAGGTTAAGAACTGGCTGTGTGTGGTGTTGCATATATTTGTCACTTTGCAGTAAATAAGGAGGAGGCAACAGCTGTACTTGTGTTATAGCCAACTTTCTTAAGATCTATAAGATAGTAATATCCCTTTCCTTCTACTATTCTGCATTGCTCTTAGTAATATTATACCTTTTTTGTCATAGTAAAATTCACTCATATAAACAAACTACATTTACTAAGTATCAATTCTTGGAAGAATGAAAGAAAAGGAAATCATATAATATGCTCACTTTCATTGGCATATTACTAAGCAACTGGACTCCCCTCATACTCCATACTCTGGCAAATGGCAAAAAACTTCTACTCAGGACACTGGGTTTGGAAGGATTAAAAATGTTTTAAAATATCAAGCTTGGCTAATCACGAACACTTGCTGGCCTTTGTCAGCATGCCATGAGAAAAACACCAACAAAGAAATTGCTCAGATTTATAATGAATTTTGTGTTCTCCATGTGCCTGAGCTATGCAAACTGGCTATCTGCTAAAGCTAAGAGTTAAAGACCGCCATATGGTAAAAGGTAAACTTTACATGTAATGAAGTCAACGTCCATGGCAATAGGGTGGAGGTCTATGAGCAGAGCCCATGATAAAGAAATAAACATAGGGGTGCAAGAAAAGCAAAGTTTTTGGTACAAGAAATAACAAGCAGATACAAAGGTGACAAAGCCATGGAAAGCTTTGATCAGAGCCAAAGTCTAATCAGTGCTCCCGAGTCTTGGAGTCCATCTTGCTGTCCATACTGAGGTGAAGACATTTCCCAGGGAGTGTTAGGGGCAAAAAACCAACATTAACCCATCTCTTTGGCATTCCTCAGTTGCACATTGTTGAAGAGATTGTGGAGTGGAGTTGGAAACTTACCCTTTTGCGCATAAAAGAGGGCTGAAAAGGAGTGGCCAGTTCATAGGGAGTTGTTCCCAGAATGCCATCTGTTCATCACATACTTAACAGAGGCCAAGACAATTAAACCCTTAATACTTATTCCAAGCTTGGGTATCATTTACTCTCCAGAGACTTAGTCCTAAAACCTGGGAATTATGCAAACCCCAAAATCCAAGCCTGACCTTTTCTGACTATTTATTCCCTATTCCCTGTACCTCCCTTCATCATCACTTACAACTTGCAGGAAAAGGACATTAAGGACTCTGGCTGTGTGAAGGTGCTGTGGACTGTGTGGCGGTAAGCCTACATGAGGCCGCTGCAGCTGTGCCCCTGTTTCTTACAATTTATTCTGTACTATTTCAGTTCTATAAGATCTCAGTGTCCATTTCCCTTTATCTCTGGGCGTTTTTCTCGGTAACTCACCTATACCGTAATAGTTGGTCTGGGCATGACCGGAAAATACGGGTAAAACTGCCCCATGGTGCTGAAATGTGGTCTATTCTGCAATCTATATGGTTCCGAAGATGCAATTTGGTGAACACTGCTTCATGTGGATTCCTTCGACTTCAATCTTTAATTATTCATGCAAAAAGGGGAAAGCTTTCGAACTCGCAATTAAATGCATACTTCGTGGACGGAAAGCCAGCCTGCAACATATGTGCAGCCCCTGTGATCAACATGCGATTTACACGGTCTTTTAAAGCTTTTCCGATCAAGTACCAACATATTGAATGCCTGAAAGTCTTATGGATCGGAAAATAGGAAATATTGAGGTTTAATTACCATGTATTAAATGCCACGTAAATCAAGCTTTAAATCATGCCGGCAAGCCTGACGGTACTTCGTTTTCAAACCTTTTTCCGTTTTAATTGCTACTTGTGAATTTTCTCTAACTCCTAAGTCAACATGACAAGGAAACGACCTCGAACTAATAGCATGTGCGCCTTCCGGTTCGATCACAGCTTTCACGTACGGAACCAGC